ACTCGGGGCGGCTTACAAAAATTAAAAAATGGCCACCAAAGTGTACAGCTTAGATAAGGGATTAGACAAATTCACTGAGGACTGCTAGTGGTGAGGCTAGCTTACCCTGCTTTCAATACTAAAAACAGAACGCCTCTGTAGACTGTTGGGGAACGTGGCCAAGAGGGTGCTATTGCATTTATGGCATGTTTAGGGGCTTCCCAAACCCATCTGGTGTCAATAAAGTATCTGGCAGGACACTGACTCCTTGTTGATATCAGCAGATCTGAGGAAGATGTCCAATGCATCATCTAGTCAGCTTAAATTGGATCAGTTGCAGCCAGTGTGGTCTGAGGATGTGGACAAGGCACTTGCATGCTCCAAATCCACGATCTCCTTTCTAGATTCTTGTCCATTATGGCTGCTAAAATCAGGAAAGGAAATGATTGTGGAATGGGTTAGCCACATCATTAATGTGTCCTACATATCTGCTGTGGCAAAGAGTACCTTTTTGCCAACTTTGGTTGATTGTCCAGCTGCACATCTACCTGGATAAGAGATGACTAACAATAGTTGTTCATTTATTGGTAATTTCTACTGTAATGTAAACTTCAGCAGATACAACACGCGACAGCCAATTAATTACAGGCATCAGCAGATGTGAAAACATATATCCTGTCTTGGCACACTTTCATTGGCTCCCTGTTCATTTTTGTGCTTAATTTAAGGGGCCAGTCATAACCTATAAAGCCCTAAATGGTTTAAGATTTTGATATTTAGTGGAATGTCTCTCCCATAAAATAGCTACCTGTTCCACACACTCTTCGCAGTCCTTGATATTAAGAATTATAACACATAAGAAGGTAAAAATAGCCAACAAGAGGAACCAAGCTCTCTCATTCATTGTATTGACAATGGACTGGGACAAAGTCAAACAAACTCAAAATGAATCTTTGAAACAAGCTTTCCACAGAGCTTTGCCAGGCACTCTCTCTCTCTCTATGTTTTTAGGAAGCCAATGAAGACTGAATTATATAAAGCTGCCTTCTACCAATTATAAATATTATTCTGGGATGTTCAAATGGTTGTCATTTCTGTATTTAGTATATTTTTAGTTAGGGACAAGGTTTATTGTATTTAGTCTATTTTTGTATTTATTAGATAGTGTTTTATTATTTTATTGCATATTATGAGAAGGGAGAGAGGGAGGGAGGAACAAAAAAACACAGGACTAGAAATGACTAAGCTAGCAAAGCTGCTTTCTATGTTTTTAATATGCTTTTCATACAAGTTTATACAATTTTCTTCTGTATTTCCAGTGCAGTACCTTTACTAAAATATAGCTATGTAGAATCATAAGGTTTGTAGCCATCTCTGAAGGTATCTTAATTTTCTGGGTTTTCAGTTCTGAATACATACTAAAGAGCACATCATGCGCATTTCGATAGTTTCCTTTTAAGAAGAAAGAACAAAAAATTAGTTTTCATATAAACTGCTATTCTGGTAATGACTTGCTCTCCTTCTAATTATACTCCATAATTTGTGCTGAACTAGATAGATTTATCAAGGCTATGCCATTACCATTTGCATTTTGTATGGAAAAGATCCTACTTAGTTAAACCCTTCTAACAGAAACACCTTCTATTTCAAACCACAGTTGCTATTTAATAGTTAAAGAACTCTAAACTATTAAAGAATTATGACATTATCCACCACTGGATCATGAACTCCCTCAAGAGAAAGAATTTTTAATAGTTAAAATGAAGACAGATATCATTAAAAACAACTTGCAGTGACATATGCTGCCAAATTATCTACAGCTCCCCTCATTTTTGCTTTCTAGTACAGTGGTGCCTCACAAGATGATTGCCTCGCAGGATGAAAAACCCGCAAGGCGATTGGTTTTTGCGATCACTATGGTGCTTTGCAAGATGGTTTCTTCTATGGCCATGCTTGGCAAGATGGTTTTTCCCCCAAGTCCGATGCTTCGCAAGACAAATACATTTCATTCGTCTTGCGAGATTCCCATAGGGAACCTAACAAGAAAATTTTTTCGTTTCTCGCGGAACGGATTACATTTGTCTTGCGGGGCACCACTGTATAAATTCTAAAGTATTTCTGCATTTAGTCAATTCTGAAATCTCTTTTTAAGAGAAAGTTAGGAGAAAAATGATGTCATTAATGTAGAAGAAAAAAATGGTATTTTACCAAGTGCTTCTAAATAAAGAGGTTACCTACCTGTAACCATAGTTCTTCTAGTGGTCCTCTATGAATTCACACAAATGGGTTGTTCTGCGCCTTCGCTGAATGTCTCGGAAGATTCTAGAGCTTAAAAGTACAAAGTTAGTGGGACATTCCCCTGTGGAGCACATGCTCCATCCACCTACGATCCCCCTTAATTTCTAGAATTTGTCTGCCAGGCAGAAGAATCATTTAATATAACCCATGATGGACAGAAGGAAGGACGGGTGGGATGTGTGAATTCACAGAGGACCACTAGAAGAACTATGGTTACAGGTAGGTAACCTCTTTTTCTTCTTTGTGGCCTCTGTGAATGCACACAAATGGGTGACTGGCAAGCTCCACTTACCGGATGGTGGGACGTCACGGTAGGAAGGATGGCAATACAAATCTGCCAAATCCAGCATCATTGAATGCTCTCACATCTAGGTGGTAATGCCTGACAAAGGTCAATGGGGTAGACCATGTTGCAGCATGACAGCTGTTAGGAATCTCGATTCCATGCTGGGAGGCAGTAGATGTTGATAGCGCTCTAGTGGAATGTCCATTCAAATGATAAGGAGGTGGTTTGCCTGATAGTTCATATGCCAGAGAAATAGTTTGGACTATCCACCTGGAAATGGACTGTGATGAGGCCGGGCCTCCCTTGTGAGGTGCATGGAAACATATGAAAAGTCTGTAAGTTTTCCTGAAAGCCTTAGTTCTGTCAATATAAAATGCAAGAGAGCGTCTTATGTCTAGTATGTGGAGCATGCGCTCTAGAGAGATTGATGGTGATGGGAAAAACGATGGTAATATAATTGGTTGATTTATATGAAATTCTGATACAATCTTGGGCAGAAAAGAGACATAAAAATACAAAGTCACCTTGTCTGGATGAAACTGGATAAAGGGTGGATTAGAACGAAGAGCAGCCAGCTCACTGGCTCTTTTAACAAATGTTATAGTAGTGGTCGGGGAGCAGGGGTAATTTACCCCAAATGGGCTAAAAAAAATCCTGGGGGTAATGAGCAGAGCGCTACCCCCACCCCACCCCCACCCCTGCAGCTGAACCTCAAACTGTAAGCCACCTCTCCCTGCTACCTTCCTTGGTTCCAGAACTTGTAGATCAGTTCTTTTAGAGATCGGAGATAAGGCGGCTTTATTGTTTATGGCTGTAGAACAGCCCGCGGCAGTCAATCTGGCTTGTGAATGACTACTTTCCCCAGAGAAGAGGAAACGGACATACTGAACTGAAGCAACTGATTATTGAAAATTTAGGGAGGGAGGAAGAGTGTGTGTGTGTGTGTGTGTGTGTGTGCGTGTGTGTGTGTGTGTGACTTGACTCTTTGATAAAACCATGAAAAAAGCAACCTTCAAAATTTAATCTCCACTGCATTTAGCTCTGCAGTTTCTGCTGAGAAAAGCAAGTACTTCAAGATTCTGTTTAGATGCTGAATTTGTACTGGACAGAACCAGAATATTTAGAAGAGTCTCGCTCACAGCAAACACCTAGTAAAAGACAACCAACACACCTGGGACTAGATGTCTGAAGTGTGTAGCAATTGCGTTTCTCTATTTCTCATCCCCAAAGCACACAAGAGTATCATAGTTTATTCCCCAAATCTGAATTCCTGTCTCTCTGCTCCTGGTCCTGCTTTGACTACAAGACCAAACAAAAGGTTTTACAAACAAAGACTGTGGCTTTCTTTATTGAGTCAATGCATCTCATCTGCATTCTTCCTCTTTTCCGACTACATTGCACTTTTTCCTGCATTGCTGCCTTTTCCAGTGAGCTTTTCTTCTCATGATGCCACTGTAGTACAATACCCTTTGTTTGGTTATTTTAGCTTCTAGTGAGAGTCCACACTTAATTTGCTTTACTTATCTCTCTAACAAGTTATGCTATCTGACAAGTTATGCTATCTTGTTGTTGAAATGATTGTGGATAGAATTGAGTCTGTATGTCGTTGGTATCGAAAGGATTGTTGGTTGGTGTATGATTTTGCTGTTTACAGTATTTTATAAAGGTTTTCCATAGTCTCATCTGTTTTCTGATGAAAGAGACCTGTGCTGTTGAAGGGAAGGTCTTCTATCCTTGGTATCATCAGACAATCTGGTGGATCTAAGCCAGGCGTGTCAGCGCAACACTATCGAGGATGCTAGGGTCTTCAATGCTACGTTGGCCGCTTGTCTAACCACAATCCTTTGTAGTTTTGCCAGCGAGGTGGCCTCCGTATAGGCATTAATCTGTTCAGTTTTGATTGATTCAGGTGCAGATTCCAGTAGCGGGAGAATTTTGTTCCAAAGTTGGGGCTGATAAGTGCTCATTGCTGTTGGATAGTTGGAGACTCTAAGTGAAAAGGATTAGAGCAAATAAATTCTTCTACCGATTATGTCAATTTCCTGACCCTCCTTATAGTAGGGGCCACTGAAGATTTATTTCTGGCTTTGGATTGGTTAGACTCAACAATTATAGAATTGAGAGTAGGATGTTTGGGCAAAAACTTGGTGTCTGTTCCATGCGTCTTGTACAGGTTTTCAGTCTGTCTTGAGATCTGTAGTGTAGATGGTAGCTTGTCCCATGCTTCCTTGATTAGTTTGAGCATCGATGGAATAAAAGAGTAAGTGGACGTTTCCTTTCTTGATTAATGTTGTCGAATATTAGATCTGCCTCAGGTGATGGAGGTTCTTCGACATGAAGTTGTAGGGATTTAGCCATTCTGGATATTATCTGTGAATAAGAAGTGAAATCCTCTGTAGGAGATGGAGGATGATTATCGATAGCACCTGAGGTTGGTGTAGGGAGGTTGGATGCTTCAGTTCTTGATAATATGAATGTCCTTGGTATGCTACCGTGAGATATGGATCGCAATACGGGACAACTTCCTCCACGTCAAAATGATGGTACTGTGGAAAATTGGAATACTGATAGTACTCTCTGTATGGAAGCATATATTGAGGAGGAGAAATATGTTTCCATTTCTCCCGATGTTTTCAGGGAGAGTGTTGAGGAGAGTCCGATCCTGAAAGTGGCAGGATTTCAATTGCCCGCCCTGATGCAGGGCTAAATTGGGCTGAGGCCTGGCTGGCTGGCGCACCAGCCACCAAGAGACCAGTGTGCTCCCATTCCTCCCGATGCCCTTGGGAAGAGTATTCAGGAGAGTCCAATCCCGAAAGTTGGACTTCAATCGCCCGCCCTGATGTAGGGCTAGAATGGGCCAAGGCTGGATGGTGCATCAGCCATTGAGAGGCCAGTGTGGTGAGATATTCTACCAGTTGACACCAGAGTGTGAGCCTTTTTTGTTCATGGCTGTCTCCCAAAGGTGAGATTGGAGCCTTTGGAGCCTTTGCTTAAGTGCCGGCTTGGTCAATTTTTTCCATGCCACACAAGAATGGGTTGGGTGTTGCTCACCCAAGCAGAATAAACAGTGTTCGTGGCCGTCAGACAATAGGATCTTATTTGAACAGCTGACACACCTTTTAAAAGGAGCTCTTGAGACCATAAAGAGTGGGAAACCAGAGGGAGAGACGGTTGAAGAGATGGGAGGAGGGGTGGGAAGCCAAAAGTGGGAAACGGAACTGACAGGGGAACGTTGATTAGTTGATTGGAAAATAGGAAGGTAGTAATTTAGGTGTTGATTAGAAGAGGAAATACTAATATAGTCGCTAAAAATCACTCAGAAACACGCTCTATTCTTCTGGAGATCTGATCAGCACAGCGGAAAAAAGGAACTGAGGGGGATCTTAGGTGGGCAGAGCATGTGTTCCACAGGGGAACATCCCACTAACTTTGTATTTTAAAGCTCTAAAATCTTCCAAGACATTCAGCGCAGGTGCAGAACAACCATTTGTGTGCATTCACAGAGGTCGTGAAGAAGAACAGTCTCAGAGCACTCTGTTTTTAAATTTGGTTGTTAATTTTTCAGGAAGTCTTGTCTCACAGCCTAATCCACAATCACATTAAAGTGGGATGTTGGAATTGAAATTGAAATTGGTTGAAATTCAATTGTGTGTGTGTTTGTGTGTGTGTGTTGTGGTGAGAGTATCAACTTAAGCTTTAAAATTTTGGGCTTAGCTGATTTGTGGACTCTTCCACATGTTCATGTAGTACAAAATACTTTGGTATCTCATAAGGTAGTGTCATATTCAGACCTTCACTGTTCTACTCGCTGTTGCCCTCTTGAGTCATCTCTCTTGCATGGAAGAGACCTGCACCACTATGAGCAACAAGCATTACAGTAGAGTAAGAGGATGGGAGGTGAAGTAGAAGTCTTTGCCCGGCATACTTGCTAGCGTCCACAAAGAAAAGGCAATGTACTTGCAGTGTACAGTTTTCTCTTTGCTCTCCACTCCCCCCAGCTGTTGCTTCACCTGTGAAATCTGTTCTGCCAAATGGTGGGGCTGCCATGCCGTACCTGCACATTGTTCTTCTCTGGCAATTATTATGGCTGTCCGGGCAGCTTCATGGTATTGCTTGAGTGCCATGTACAACCGAAACAGATATTTGGCTTCCTTTGTCAAAATACAAAGACAGATATATTAAGGTAGCACACAGCCATTTATCACTACATGGGCTTCATACACTCTTCATCTAAAGCTGTGTGTTTTCAGGCTTTCAATAAACAGCAATTGTGCCTGGAGCTTGCAAGGGCATAGAGAACTTGGGTTCCATATGTCTTTTACATCGCTAAACTAGGTTTTAGAATTCCTTCACAGGATTAAAGTGTGCTGAAATTAACATTAAAAGCATGAAAAGCAACTGAAATTATCTCAGCTGCATTTAGTAATCTCAGATATAGAATTACTACTTCAACAAAATATTCCAATACACTTTAACACAGAACTCACATTCCTCTATTATTCTCCATTCCTCTTACTAAAACAGCTTCATTTCTCTTAAATATGTTTTAGATTAGAAACTACTTCCATTGTTCAATCTTGTGTTTTCAATAAACCATTTAATCTATTTTGTTGGCAGTGTTCTGTTGTTGCAACTGAACAGAGTTTGATATGCTACCATCCATTGCCAATTTGCTCTTCCTTGTTGAGTAACATCTAGCAAAGGAACAACGAGCTGCAATTGGTGCTTGCTTTAAAAGGAAGCACACTAGTAATCTTGAAGATGGCAGCTGCCAGACTTCTTCTAAAGAAACGATTCTCTGACATGAAGGATTGTAACAATTTCTGGCCAGTCATAGATATTATTTACTTTTGACTGATCTTAAGATTGTGTTTTTTGCTATCCTTATATGCCTTGTGAACTGCCCTGAAGTTTTGTAAGCAAAACAGTGACCTAGGATCATTTAAAATGAATGAAGAAAGGAAAGTAAATCTTTAGAATTTCATTTACAGTAATCATACACAGGGATAGGACACCAGAGAGGAAGGTTCAGGCCTAGCTGTTGCCTGACATGTTTGTTTTTTGCTTGCAAGTCATGTTTTTGTGCAGAGAAGCATTGCATCAAGAAGTCCTTATTCACAGGCTAAATGACACAGTAGAAGCAGTCACTACCTCAGCAAGAACTAGTTACAAGCACTGACAACTAGTTACAAGCACTGATAACCTTATCCTTGTATACTATAATCTGTGGCCTTACCAAAAAGTCCCCTTTGCATTTTAAACATAAGCCACATATCACATTTAGTTAAAAAACTAAGCAGAGCATAGAATTCCACAGACCATAGATTCCCAATTTGGAACTTAATACCTTTGGTATCCCATCACTCTCTCCCATGAGGTAATTTATAAGCTGATTGGTCAGAGCTTCATCTTTTGCCTGTCCCACCTGGGGAAAAATGTGAACAGAGCAACATAATATATTATGGGGGAAACAACCAAGTTTTTATTCTGTGTGATATGACTATTAATATGTTGCCTTCAGTCTGCAACTCAGGTATTTTTATATGATTATACCATCAAGAAAGACGCAAGACCGTGGCATTTTCAGTACACCAAATTCCAATTTTGCAAAAAAGACAGAGTATAACATTTGAAATCAATACAGAATAGATACATATTCTGGTCCTGGTTCTCTGCTCAGTCAGGTATAACAGTGACAAGGAATTTCTGTGGGAGAGACTTGTATCTCTCCCATCAAACCACTCCCTTGCTTTCTAAGTAATGTTCCTTACCGTCTCTATTGCCATTTCTATAGCCATATTATCATCAGTATTTGGACTTTTCAGGAAGTGTTTCAATGCCTGGAAAAAAAGTATGCATGGCATTGAATACTTTCTATGTAAGCATTTCCTTACAAATAAATACTGTTTTGTATCTCTGAAAATATACAACAAACACAGAGCAGGAATCCAATTCTGCAAAGTAACAACTTCATAGAATCAAGCAAAGCAGTTTGTATTATTCAGAATAAGCATGTTGGCATTGTTATGTTCTCTTGCAATGTTCTTTTAGAGGAATGTGCTTTAGCAAATGAAATGTACTGAATTACATTCCTCCAATAAAATCTAACTACCTAGTCTGGGGATGGGTTAAAATATTATTTTGAATTAAAACTGGCTGAACAACCACCTGTGTATCACTTTGAAGACATGGAAGGCAGTTCCACCATTTTTTGAAGGCCCCAGAACCCTGTGGCTTCATCTCTTGCTCCCCCCCAATTGAACACTAGTGGGTACAGGTGGGCAAAAAAGGGTGGGGTGGAGTCAATGGAAACAGCCCCCCCCCATGGTCTAGGGATGGGCATATGTCAGCCATGATCTTCTGGAGATGGCTCACCCCTGACATAAACAGCCAGTATCAATACTATGATGCTCTGCAAAATCTTTCTTCAGAACAAAATGTGCAGAATTCGTATCTCTCCATCAGACTCTATCATTCACATCGCCTAATTTCTTGCCTTGAATATATCCTTTTCAGAGAAGGAAAAATGTGAGCAACTCTCTCCTAATGGTGTTGTGGGGGAATGTGAAACAGGGAAATGGCAAATGGGGACAGTTAAACTTCGTTCCCAGCAATGAGACCTGATCCATATTAAATCCAAGTAGTGCTTCTTTAAACAGAAAGAAAAAGTGTTTGGGAGATCCTCTTACACAACCATCATGTAGCATCTAATTTGAGCCTTATACTTATGGCTTAATACTAACCCGTGCATACTGACCACACAGAAGGAAGAATTTGCCCGCCTGAAAATGTTTTTTCTCCCCTTCAAAGTATAAGGCAATGCTTTGGTAATCTTCATTAGAGGTGTCCTCAGAACCTGCAGTAGGTGAGGCAAAACAAAAGAACGTACACCAAATCCAATTTGAAAGACTCCTTATTTTGAAAAAATAATTTAATTGGTATGGATCATAAATTCCCTTCCTGGACAAAAAAAGAGTCCATAGAGTAGTGTTTTTTTTTAATACCTCATTTTTCTGAAAATGAAAGTCTATGCTTGAGGAAGAAGAGTTCCTTGGGAACACTGTGGAATATGGTGCAGAAGGCTTGGTATCTCTCAGATAATGAAAACATTTAAAAACAGCATAAGTTTATCCTCACTTATCTATGAGTAAGCCCCATAAACCTCAGAAGAAAACTAAATTTGAGAGCACATATGTTTGCACCAGTAATGAAAAGTCAAGTATTGATAAAGATTTTTGAACCACCACCTCAGGTTGAAATACTCACTGATTATGTCAGCATAGATTTCCATCTTATTGTGCTGCTGGGCCAGGGAAAAAGCTTCATTGTTACATTTGGACATCACCAAAAACTGGATGGCAGACCCATAATCACCCAATTGCAGAAAGAATCTAAACAAAATTAGCAACTGCATTATTCAATTCGCTTTAAAAAAAGACATTGCAATGAATAGAATCAGAGTTTTGGATTTACACATAAGGTTTATGTAGCAACTCAAAGGAACAACCCATCATATTTTTAAGCAGTAAAGTGGCAGTATTCGTTATTCCAGTAACTGAGTTATAAGTGAACTTTGAGGTTCCTTTTGAGGGCAGAAATGCAGATAGAAAATTCAAAAATGGAAAATTAAGAAGGATTTAAACATAACAAAAACAATAAAACAATAATGTCTATAATTCTAAAATGATGATGATGATGGCAATGATGTAGAACTGTTAACAGAAAAGGATAGGGCCTGCTCATAGGTGTTACATTCTATTGTGGAAACAACAGGCATGATCCTGCTTCCACCAGTAATATGGTGAGGACAGGTGTAGTGATTGTGGACTTGCAAGATCATTAGGGGCCCGGCAAGCAGAGTTGCTTAAGCGGGTTTCTCTATTTTCCCTGAGAAAAGATGATGCATGGATTTAATCATTATCAGGTACCTTGCTGGCCCAGCACAAGTGAAAAACATCCTTCTTCACATTGACTCTGTAATATCTTGCTCACATTCAAGCTATTCTCTACTGAAGCACAATAAGCAGACAGATGTTTCCAGAGGACACAGGCTGATTAGATGGCACAAAGCTTTCCATCTTCATCATATTTTGGCTGTACTAGTGCTTCTTAGTAGGAAGCAGCCAATGCTCCACAGCCTCTTGAATCATCTGGTCCTCTCCAAACCCCAACTTTTTCTTTACAGGTATGGAATTGGAAAGCCCAAATTAACACCGAATCTTACTCCTGCAGGAAAATGAAGGAATCTGGCACTATTGGCAACACTGAATGTGAAACCTTTCCCAATGCTTTTTCCCTACTCTTGTAATTTTAAAAGCATGTGTCTTTACACAGACATAGTCTCTTTCATTTGAAACATATACAGAAAATATGAAAATATATTAAAAGCATTTATTTTCTGGTATCAATCCTTGATGCCCAGGGTCATGGAAACTCCTGGGGAGTATGTGTGGAGCTGGTCAAACTACACTTAAATTTGTCTTGCTTACCTTGAAAGCCATGTTAAGATAACTGTAAGTCAATTCTCACTTGGCAGCACATAACACAACATCAGTACTTCTGTATCTATAATTTGACCAATTTATTAGATGTAATAGTTTTAAATTATGGTAAAAGTTTTAAAAACTAGTTTTTACGGCTCCTGTTACCTGGCTACCATCTTGGCTCCTTCAAGAGACTGTGTTTCCCTGACAATGCTAACAGCCTTTTCTGGATTGTTAAGGTGATCCAAATATAGATGGATAACATTGTCCCATTGCTTGGCATTTTCATATGCCAAAACAGCTTCTTTGTATCTAAAAATAAAAATAATTACATATCATTTTAGTTTAGCCTCTAAAATTCCTAACTACTATCCTGTTGTACAGTATATTTATGTCTGCGGCGCTCCAACCCTGTAAGCTGCTAGGGCACTCTGAGAAATTGCTGGTCATGTGTCTGGTCGTGTGTAGCTAGCACTTCATCAGATCACTGTTGTAGCTTCAGTTAGAGCCCTGTACGCATATTATACATTAAAGTATCCCTAGAGTTAGAAGATTTAATTGAATGGCAGTTAAATTAATTAATTTTTCACTAAATAACGCTAACATGCCGTCCTCTTCCCTCACCCTCAAATTAAAGGAGCGGCGAGTCACTCAATATTTAACTATTGCAATACACAGGGAACATGTTCTAAATAATTCTCTGAATGAGTCAATTTGCTGGTACATGCTATTCCAACATCAGTACTGAATGGGACAGAACAAACCCCCACATTTAAATATGACTGTAGACTGAGAATATACTTTTGAATTTTATTTTAGAAAGGAAGACATACCTGCCATCTGCTTCCTTTGCTTTGGCATACTGAAGATGTATCTTTGGAGAGGACACATGAGGAAGAAGTTCACCAACTTTTGCCCTAAATCATAGATATAAATCTCATCAAACTGCTGTTTTCCTTCTAACATATTGTATCAATTACCATCTCTCAACATACCGAAGCACATAGAAAAACAAGACAAACTGCTACTGGTCAATTTTGGAAAATATGAAAATACCTTGAAAATTTAAAGACAGGGAAATTTGTTGTCACATGCAATCAAGTCACTTCTGAATTATACAGACCCAATGAATTAATGACTTCTAAAAGCTCCTGTCATTAACAGCTCTGCTCAGGTATTGCACACAAAAGGCCATTGTTACTTGTTAGTTTTAATTTAAAAATATGGTGGGTGAAAATAATAGATTTTAAATAGACATTTGTATTGTACTGTATTGAACAATGGTAGTTGGTATTGCTCACAGGAAGGAGAATTTCACCCAGACCTTAACATCTCCAGCTGCTAGAATCCCCCAGGCCTTGAGCTCCACTAAATCTGTGATGGTCAGACACTGCAGCCTTCAACTTCTGAATTTCCCAGAAATTAAAACGCCAAACTTTAGAGTCATAGAGTTGGGAGAGACCATTGACGCCATCCTGTCCAACCCCCTGCCATGTGGGAACATCCACCAAAGTATTCCCACCAGATGGCCATCCAGCCTTTGCTTAAAAACCTCCAAACAAGGAGACTCCACCACCCTTTGAGGCAGCCTATTCCACTACCGGACAGCTCTGACCATCAGGAAGTTCTTCCTAATGTTCAGACAGAATCTCTTTTCCTGTAATTTGAAACCATTGCTCCATATCATTGTCTCTGGAGCCCTGAAAAACAAACCTGTCCCCTCTTCAACATGACATCCTTACAAATATTTAAACATGGCTATCATTTCCCCTCTCAACCTTCTTTTCGTAAGGTTAAACATTCCCAACTCCCTAAGCCGCTCCTCGTAGGACATTGCTTCCAGACCTTTAACAATTTTAGTTGCCCTCCTCTGGACATGCTCCAGGTTGTCAACTTCTTTTTTGAATTGAGGTGCCCAGAACTGGACACAATACTCCAGGTGAGGTCGGACCAAAGCAGAATAGAGTGTACAATCACTTCCCTTGATCTAGACACTATACTCCTATTGATGCAACCAAGAATAGCATTGGCTTTCTTGGCAGCCGCATCACACTGCTGACTCATTTTCAGCTCGTGGTCTACCAAGACTCCTAGATCCCTTTCACAGGTATCGTTGTCTAGCCAAGTGTCTTCCATCCTATATCTGTGCAGTTCATTTTTTCTGCCTAAGTGGAGGACCTTACATTTCTCCCTGTTGAAATCCATTTTGTGAGTTTTGGCCCAGGACTCTAATCTGTCAAGGTCATTTTGAATTTTAATCCTGTCCTCTTGGAAATTAGCAACCCCTGCCAATTTGGTATCATCTGCAAATTAATCAATATACTCTCTATTCCTTCATCCAAGTGATTGATAAAGATGTTGAATAATATGGGACCCAGAACAGAATGCCGGGGCACCCCACTAGTCACTTCTTTACAGGACAAAGGGGAGCCATTTGTGATCACCCTTCGGGTTCGGTCAGTCAACCAATTACAAATAGACCTAACAGTAGCACTATCTATCCCACATTCTACTAGTTTCTTTGCAAGAATATTGTGAGGATATTCTTTGATAAAAGTTTGTTTTGGCTGTGCCCAAAAATGAGGTATGTAAATACAAGGAGATGATACAACATTTGAGAATGGAGAAAGACACATGCTTTGTTTTTAATTGAGAGGGAGAGAAAATCTCTGCCAGCAGTAAGAGTTACACAATAAGATGTGACTTATTGAGAAATGCTATGCCATGCTTTTATAATATTTGAAACTATTTAACCAAATAGATTTTAAACAACTTTTTAAAGTGACTTGTATGAGAGTTTATGTATTTCTCTATTTTAGGCATTGAGAATGTATTTTTAAGCATTGTATCCTTTGAATATTAAGTTTAGATTCAGAGCTATAGTATAAACAATACTATTTTGGACAGTCACACGTTCATTTTAGATTCAATACTATCTACGTATATGACAGTTTGTGTAAGAAGACTGTAGATTTTGAAATATATACTCATTGATTTTTATATATTTTAAACAAATATATGCTTGCAACTTTGAGCTTTTTATATGCATGCTTGCTTGCTAGCTACATAAATTATAGAAAAGGAGATTTATTTCTGTACATTCAGTTCATAAAAGATACCAAAAGGATATCTAGGGGGAAAAGCTGAGTTAATATTAAAAAAGGGTGGAAAATCTTCTGAGACTACAAATAAAGTCTTTGTCAGTTGGGTGCAAAACATAAGTCGATAAGTCTCCCATGGAGAGTCTGCACAAAGCTGGAGCCCTTTGAGGACATTCAGATATTTCCCAATGAAATCTGTTACCTTGGCTTCTTTTACTAAATCAGTTCATCCCCTGATCAATCTTCCTCTTCTGCTGCTGCCTTCAGCTTTTTCTAGCATTGTCATCTTTTCCAGCGAGTGTTTTCTTGTGATATGTTCAAAGAAGGATAGTCTCAGTTTAGTCATTTTAGCTTCTAGTCAGAATTTAAGCTAATCTGACACAGAATCCAATTATTTAGTTTTTAGGTGCTCCATGGGATTTGTAAAGTTCTCCTTCAATACAACATTTCAGATAAGGCATTTTTTTCCTGTCAGCTTTCTTCACTATCCAACTTTCACACCTGTATGCAGTAATCAGGAACAGCACAGTATGGATTATCTTGGCCTTGGTCTCCAGTGATACATACTTACATTTCAGGATGTTTTAACTGCTAACCTTCTGAGTTTCAGCCTTCTTCTGATTTCTTGGCTGCAGCTTCTGTTTGGTTTGATAATGATACTGAGATATCTTTTAATAATTTTATTGTTTTTCATACTTGTTGGATTTTAAAAGACCCAGATTGCAGCTTGAAGTATTGGTATCCCATCTATTGCAGATGATTTATTTCTTCTGACTGCTTTATAAGAAACTTCTACCTCATGAGCAAATTGGGTACCTAATTTGCCATGAGTTGGATTCCAAAGTTCCCATGAACTCACAGAATGATCCAATTCATGCAAGAAGGAAAAGGCAATTTTTGATTATTTATCTTCTCCCTTGGGCCCTCATATACCCCTCAAAAAACTGTTCAGGAAGATAAGAGGACCTTCCAAAATATTATAAAAAGACAGGCAGATACCCAGAAAGGTAAAAAGATTTGTTTGGAAGTATATGAGGAAGAACCTGCAATTCTAGAAAATGAAGTGAAAACTGCTCTGAAAGCACTAGGAAGAAACAAATCACTGGGGTAAATGAGAAATTGAAAGAACTATTTCAAGCCACAGAGACTGAATCTGACAAAATTCTAACAAGAATATGGATTGAGTCCTTAAGAGCAGAGCAGGGATGCAGAAGACATGCTATTTTTGAGATAGCTCATTCATAGGGTTGCCATAAATCAGAGGTGACTTAACAGCACATAACAGCAACAAATTCTGTGCAATGGCACTGAGAAGTGTATGAGAAGGAGTACATTAGAGATAATTGACTTTCTGACTTGTTCTGCGACAAAGGGTACAAAATATAAGAAAAAAGTGAGGTGTAGCAATGCTTTATTGATTCCCTATTTTTCTCTCTGCTATTTTCTGTAAAATTTATAGCTTTGCAGCAACACTCTTACCAGTTCTTGCAACGGATATATACTGATGCTGCTTTGTCATAATATTGTCCTTTTTCATAGAGCTGGGCTGCTTCCGAAAATTGCTGGAACATAAGAAGTGGTACACATAGTTAGTTTAGAATAAATAAATCCCTATTATGTTTATTTCCTTTACTTACTGTATATTAAAAACACTAGCTACCTTCATGCTCTCCAGAATGGCACCGCAGTCTCTTTTCAACATCCTGCTGGGATGTTTGTTGGCTTGATTAATACCTCGTCGAATATCACCCATGCGAATGGACATCTGAGCTATTCCAGCTAGACAGGCCTCATCATGTTCTTGGCACTGGCAATCAAGAGTATGGCACAAAGGTGCAGTAAAAATAAAAATATAAAGACATAAAAAAGGACAAACCGAAACAACATACAGAGAATTTAGAAACACAACAGCCATTATTATACATGTATATTTTAAAGAACAGAGGATTTTTTTTCTGTTTGGATTATTAATTTTTTGTTTCATTTTGTGGCACATTAAAGATTTTTCATAATACAAGCTTTTGAAAGTTATAGCCCAGAAGCATCTAACAAATGTAATCCACAAAAGTTTATAGCATGATGAAATGTGTTCATCATGAAAGACACTGAGGACTGATTACTCTTTCTGCAGTAACTGCATAACTACTAACCTGAATATTTATATCACTACGCAAAGAATAACCAAGCTGCATTTATACCACTCTTCAAATATATTCACTGGAGAAAAAATAATTATGTCATTGCCAAGCACATAGCATTGACCATTACTGTGAGTTACATTAGGCCCCCAAATACTGAAAAATTGACTGTCTTTGAAGAGTCTGGTCTTGCAGTGATCATGAAGTTATCTTTTCCATTATGGTTAATAAATTAACAAAGATTTATGAAGAAAATAATTTATTTCCTTATAAGCAAGAGTTCTCTTTAAATCACAATGTTAAAAAAATCAGTACAAAACACAGCTGTATCTAATTATAAACAACAGATTATTTTATTCTACTGAGGCAAACATTGATCTTTAAATAGAGAATGATAGATCTAAAACATAACCATTTCATTAATGTTCTCCAAAATATCTAGAATGGTCAACTGTAATATTTACAACCTAAGAAATAAAAAACATTTCTAATACTGTATTACTAAATCAACTTCAGCCTGAGGATACTTAAAAAGTGACTTAAGATAATAAATCACAATCTTAATATAAATAATTAGGCGTGCCAAAGTTTATCATAAAATAATTATAACAAAAACTGTTACCTTACTGTCACCCGTAATTCCTTTTTCATAGTGTGCCAAAGCATTCACATAATCACCCCTAAAATAAAGTCAGTAATGTATAAATACAGATACAAAGCAATATATAAAGGATTCATAGAACACTTCCAAGTAAGGTTTTTTGAGTGTCAAATGTAATAAGTCAACAAAACTGACAACCACTGGAGGACTGTACTAATCCATATGCAATCTATAGATCAAGTCAGTGATTTAGTATGAATCTCACTCCCATACACTCAAGCTCCCATACACTCAAGTAGTCCCCCATACTACTGCACCACAGATAAAAGACTATTTCCAGGTGCACACAACCCATCCAAAATGCAACAAGCTCACAAGTATTTATTATTTATTTATTGGATTTATACCCCACACCATCTGGCAACCAGGCCACTCTGGGTGGCTAACAACAAGATAAACAACACAATATCAAAACACGATAAAAATAAAATAAAACATACATTCAAACGAATACGATAACTAATGGGATAAATTAAAACAGATGTCTATGAAGGTGGTAAAAACGATCCTGAAACTGCCAAAGGAAACCTTTAATCATCTGTGATCTGCCACTGCTGATGACATCACCAGCACCGTGCATGCAGAGCTGTGCAATAAGATTTCAGCCAGTATGTTTTTCTGTGCATGTACAGGTACTGACTGGAGTCCTATTACATCTGTACACTGGTATAACACAGTCAGCAAAAATCTCAGCAATGAATATCCAGAAGTTAAAAAGTTAGCAGAGGCATTTGCTGCTGCTTCCTATATCATGGGATGCAGTGCACAACAAGCTAATGCATTTTGACTTAGAGCACTTTACTACTGAGGCTTTATTTATTCATTATTTATACTCCACCTTTCTCCTTGAAAAGGACCCAAGGCAGCTTACAACAGTAAAAGACAATATTTAAAAGCTAAAAACAATGAGTATACAATGGTGGTTAACATAATTAAATACAATATTTAAAGCTACGAACAATGAGTATAAAGAGGCATCATAGATCATTAGAAGACAATATTAAAGCTAAGAACAATAAGTACACAAATATTTTTTAAATGCTACCCTGAGAAAAACACAAAAATGGAAAACACATCTACTGATTTATGTCAATGGACAGAAGAGGACCCTAGCCATTATATTTTACTGTAGGAAGGCCCAAAAAGGTGCTTTGCGTGCATACAGCTGAAATTTTAAACATAAATATTAGACTTTTCTAAAAGTACATACGTGAATTCCAGCTGCACAGCATACTCCTTTGATATGAAGGGGATGAGCCCTGGTGCCAAGCGTTTAGCTAGCTGAAGTGCATTATCCCAATGCTGTAGGTCTCTTCTCATCTATTACCAGAAATAATGTGGATTTTAATGGAAAAAATTATAGCCCACTCATCCTAAAAACACAGCGTTAGAAAATAAAAATAAAGTAGAAGTGGGTGTGATATTAGGCAGCTTAATTTGTTACCTCAAGTGCAGCAGCAGGGCAGGAAGACGCCAAATATAAGTCCTGAGCCAAGCTGAAGTTATTAGTATACATAGCAAGATGTCCTGCGAGAAGATTATGATCTTCTATGTCCTGAAGAAGACATAGAGATGCATGAGGCCCATTTTATTAATTTTTGAATTACAAATGTATCCATAGATGTCTTGGTACACACAACCTGGGAGGGTTAATGTGTATATGTAAGGTGCCATTAGGGCAGGGAATCGTGGCCTCAGGACAACTTTTTTTTTATTTGAATAGCAATACATCACACACAGTAAGACAAAATGTACATTGAGAGCTTAGGAACACTGATGACCACAAATGTTCACAACAAAAACAAATGTTTTTTCTGTAACGGAGTGGTTTTTATTACTACACTCATCTGATACTGGCTCAAACAAATCCTATAAAATTGTAAACTGACCTTGGCTGGAACTTAGTTTAAGTTTGAAGCAGAAGAAAGTACTATTAGTATAAGTAGGTTATTATTATAATAACTATCTGAATCATCATAATCAGTAGCTGCATCAGCAGCAGGATCTAGTATACAGTGGTGCCTCGCTTGATGAGGATAATCTGTTCCAGCGAAATCGCTGTAGAGTGAAATCCTTGTCAAGTGAAATAAAAAAGCCAATTGAAACGCACTGAAAACCACTCAATACGTTCCAATGAGCTAAATACCTCAGCATCCAGCGAAGATCCTCCATAGGGTGGTCATTTTCCGATGCCTGTGCAGCAAAAAATCCGTCCTAAAGCACAGCGGGGAGCCATTTTACACAGTGGGTGGCCATTTTGAAACCCGACGATCAGCTGTTTTGATCGTTGTAATGCGAAGAATCGGTTCCTGAAGCAGGGAACCGATTGTCGGGAAGTGAATTTTGCCCATTAAACCATCATTTTGCAATCATAAAAGCGAGCGCAAAAACCTCAGTGTCAAGTGGATTCGTCATTTAACGAGGTAATCGTTAAGCGAGGCACCACTGTATTTCTTGGCGGAATTTTAAAAAACCATTTACCCTCAAAAAGAAATTACAGAGATAACCAACTGATTTAAGTTCAGTACTTAAAAATCAAGTACTTACTCTCCTAATGCTAGAAAAATATTGTTGAGACCAGGTGAGCCTCTCTGGAGCCAGGCTCAATCCCTAATGCAATCTCATATAGTCTCTGAAGTACAAAACAAAGAGACAAAGAAATGTAATATTAAGTTAAAATTTACCTTTATTTGTTCTAATGACATAACCATTCCTACATTTCTGATTGTCCTATAAACCCGTGTTGCAAATTCCACCTCCATATGATGCAAACAAGCTGTAGCTAGTTCATTCCATGAAGACAGATCATTCAGAAGTTTGCATACTTCCCACGACTCAGTAAATCTACACAAAGATACAGAGAAAACAAAAGCAATAACTGCACTAAGCGCAGCTGGTTCCTGAATATTTTGGTGTCTCTGGTATACTACAGTATATGAAAAGAAAACCCACCTTTTCAATATTAACGTTTGTTTAAGGATTTGCTTTAGTTCATTATACCCCAAGTCTTTCAAAGGCCCAAGGAAGCTATGAGTACTAAGCAAGATATTGTTGGTTTTTCCACTTTGAGTCTGACAGGTTAGTTCTCCATTGTACAGTAGCAATGGTTTGTGAGAATAAGGAACCCTGGTGTCTCCTGCCAAAATCACCTTGGAACCTATATAAAAATGGGACAAAAGTATGTCAATGTGCAGTTCAACCAAAATGAGCACTGAGTTGTATGAATAAATATGACAGTTATGTAGTCTTACGCTTATGTCTGAAGACGTGGACTTGACCATACATTTTCACATTACAATATAGCAGTCTTTAAGGTCCCACAATATTTTTATCACTTGTTGTTTTTGTTCTTGGGTTTTGTTTTGTTTTTTGGTCTGATATGCTTACACAAACTAACATGGTTACTTGTTTTGAAAAATCCGAACCTTAATGGTCATATGCATAGAACAGATGGGGGGCATGGTTTTTCTGCATCACCCCTGCTTCTCTGGCCAAGCAGAAGCATGTCTGTTTTGAAGAAGAGCCAAATGGAGAGCAGTTGTATGTATACATGCATGGCCTGTGACCTTTTGTTTGAAGAACTGGAGTGTGAAATCTTACCCACAGCTGCCTTAGTTGCAACTTTAAAACAACCACCTTCCTGCTTCCTAACTCATCTAAGACATGTACATGCCTGATGAAATTCATCTTGCCAAGAACTTTACATCTAAGAGTAACTTCTTGGCAAACCCCATCTTGCCATAAATGTTTGGACTTTTGGTACCTGGTTTGAAGAAGTGGGATTTATCCATGAATACTTGCACATTGTATGACTTTTTAATTTTTTTATTAGTGGCCTACAGTATAAACGTATCATTTATTCTTGCATTTGCGTAGAGCAGAGTTACTAAACAGAAATACCCATAAAACAAATACCTCTAGAGACTAAGGCCTATGAAAGCTCAATTGAAAGTATAGTCACATGGTGTGGAAAAGGCAGAAAAAGAAAGAAAAAGTCTAGTGTCCTTGACTTGGGAGAAAATCTTTCTTGATCTCAGAAAGAAAGAGCATTGCATGTTCAAGCAGGTATTGGTTCTTCTATTGTCAGTCCTGGAGAAAACAAGCAAAATCTAAAATGCTCTTCCCTGAACAAAATAAAAATTTTTGAATACTACTTAGAAACAGTGATAAATCACCTAATGCATAGAACAAAGTTAACAAAAAAATAAAAAAATTACCATGACTGAATGATGCAGTCTACCTCTCTTAGTTTTGTCTCCTGTGCTATTGCAATAGTCTATCTATTTATTCCCATAATCACAATGTAGATTGCAACCCTTTAGGAGTGGGAATCCATATTTTGCTTACATTAATTTCTGGTATAATGAAACATACCCTATTAGCATAACTTTAGAACTTTGTAATACCTTGTATAGTATCTTTATGAAAGACATATGTATATATTTTGTCATCATCATAGGCAACAAATACTCCTTTGTCCATTGGCCAGTTCTCCCACAGAATACCCTTGATGGTTGGCTGAAAATTTGGAATCTCAAAGGCAATATCAGTTACCTAAGAAAGGCAGCATACCAAATTATTTTGCAATCAAAATGACAATAAAATGGAATTAATATTCATGCTTGAATTATACTATTGTATTAGAAGACAAACTCAGATACATATTCCCTTCATGAATTAAGATTTACAGGCTAATTAAAAGTGCTTGTAAAAGGGATCAGACAGTAATCTCAGCCTACAGATTCAGATAAAAAATATATATTTTCCCTCCTCTCAGGTCACAAGAAAAATACAGGTATATCTGACAAGCAATATGAGCTGCTGAAAGAGGATACTATTAGCCAAATGAGAATATTAATTTAAATAAGATAGCATCACAGAAGCATTTGGAATATTTAAATACATTGTGAGTGACAGGACTTCCTTCAGTCTAACGAAAAGCAAAAAAGACTAAAACCAGACATTACAACTACAGCAAGCTATATTTGACTCCAAATATGTTAATTTATTTTTTCTGATCCCTCAGGTTCACATGTCAGCAGACTGCATGGGAAATTGAGGATGGGGTACAGTGTTGGGATCCTAACTTGATATTAATTACGTTGCAGCTAGAGTAAACCCATTGAATCAATGCGAATTTGGTGAGTCAGGTCCTCTATAACAGGGGTCCTCAATGGCCCGTCCCCCCAACTGGTCCACGGTTCCGAAAAAGTTGGCAACCACTGCTCTGTAAGTCTTACTTATTTAATGGTCCTATTCTAATTGTGACTTTCTATACTAGGCAACAGGATTTCAGCGGCAAGACATCAAAAACACATAAGGGGAAAAGTCAATGAAAGCACTACAGCTTGGAGGAGATGTACTTCAAAGTAGCCAATTCTTGGGTTTAAACACCTATAACATTCCCATAGGTTAAATTCTCCCCTGAGGAAGTACAGAAAATGAAGAAACAGATTTTAGAAATACATCAGCAAGTGGCGTGGATCCCCTTTGAACCTAGTGGTATGAGAAAGAAGTCAATTTTTGTGAAGGAAAGTACTGTATGTTCTTTGTAAATTTGTTTACAATTAATCTTCATGTATGATGGGGCAAGCAAACTGCAGTGTGCAGGATGCACACAGCAGCCCTCGTGGCTTTTTTATGTTCTCTAATTTAGAACTCCACCCTCCCAAATGCCAAATACCTAGGGAGAAACCCCAGCTCAAATGACCTCTTTTTGCTCTTGAAGTGGCCATATTTGCATTAAGTGTCAGTGGGGTCCTTCGACCCCTCCCACAGTGTCTGAGAATGTCCAGTTCCTTTTTCTTCAACTTCATTTGTGTGTGTGTGCGTGCGTGCGTGCGCGCGCGCGCGCGCGCGCCATTTCTGGGTCTGACAGAGTTGGGTGGTATTTTGGATCCCTGGCTCATCAGGGCTGCCTGTTCTTGCTCTATAGAAGGCTGTGTTTCACTCTGAACAAATACATTTTCCTTCTTCAGAAAACAGATTAAAATAGCATACAAGAATCTCTGAAATATGTATGTTCTAATTACATAAACATTAGCAGTAACAAAGAATATACATAAATACATATAAAACTAAAACTGTACAAATTATACTGTCAAATGAAATGGAAAAACTTACCGGACAATAAACAAAACCATCACTTTTGTCATCAATGAAAACTAGTCTGGTTCCATTAGGGTCTGGGAAGATTTTTCTCACACCAACAGAATGCCGATATTCATTCACATATTGCCAGTCTTCAATGTAAAAATAGTGAATAACACCAGTCTAACAAATAACAAAAAAGTCATACTAGTAATAGTAGAAATCAGGAAAATGAATGCATGTTGAGATAGGTTCCGTTCAGCTGGGTTATCTACACAATATGTCAGTCATATAACTTTGGACTGAAATGTTAAAGAGTAACAATTGCAAACTGATCAATGAAACCACTCACTATATTATGTGAGTGTTGTCTGCCTACTAGCACTTCAGGAGCTGATATGAAGGGCAGAGTCTCTGACAAAATGTCAGAGAATCTCCCAGCCCAGAAAAATAATCTGGGGAAACAGATTCAGGGAGACCAACTTTCAGATCAAATCAAGTCTGGAGAAGCGTTGCACTACATTTTTCACAATCTGTTGGGGAAAATTCAAAATAGGTGTAAAGGAAACATCTAAGCCTCAGGGTTGGAGGATACAGTGACTTTATTAACAGTGCAGACCTACTGGACTTTTGGTCCATTCCCCCTCCTCAATCTGCCTTTCATTCCAGCAATAAAGTAACTATAACATAAATAAATTAATAAAGTAAATAAATGAGGCTGGGAGCAGACAGGAATATGGACTTTTTGAGTAGTAAATAAAGGCTGAGCACTACCTAACAGTGCCTGTGAGGTTCCCCTCCCCAAACTAGAGCCTAAGGAGGCGTTATCATAGGACAAATGTGTTTGGCCCACAATTTCCATGCTGAAGACTCTTTCAGCAAGAGAGGGGATTAGTGATCAAGGAGAAGCTGGTCAAGGGAAAGAGGAACATGAATGATGTTTGCAAGCAGGGCGTTGGGTTATTGGGTGAGAGAGGGAAGAGGAGGTCAGGATGGGACAAACAGATGAATGGCATAGGTATGTGGACAGGGAGCTAGCAAGGAATGCCAACTCTTCTCCTTTCCTTTGTCCCTCCCCGACCTTCCTTCCATTGCTTCCCATTTATTTTGTATATTTGTAACAACTTCCTAAGTTCATCCTAGCCACATAGTGAAATGTATCTCCCGAAAATATGATAGTGCTATTCTAAATACTTCACATTTGAAACCACATGATGAGATTACGTTTGAAATAGACACATACTTACATTAGTACCGTAGATGAGAAAATCATTAGTTAAAGCATGGCACAAAATTTTACTTTTATCATCTGTATCTGGAAAAAGTCTAGTCTCCCGTTCTTCTTCAGTATTTGAACGTTCACTTTCTATCTAAAAACCATGCAGCAAATGGAAATTTCTAATTAGTAATGTAAAGGATTTTATGAACTCACAGTTTAAAATTAAGAAAGTCAGCTGTCTTATCATACACACCACATACTCAACATTTATTTTCTTTAGTTAATGATAAACCACAAGCAGCCACTTCAAAATCTCAAGAGGAATTTTAAAGCTAATCCTATTTACTCTGTAGTGATCTGTAATTGTTTGCCCTTCAACTGCATTTCACAAGTCCTGACATTCTTAATTTCATCTTATTCTTTAACCTCCTACAAAATTACTTTGGAACATGTAATTTCAACATTTCATGTACTTTTGGCTGAAACCTGACTCAGTCAGATAGTATACAATTGTAGTTTCTAATCAAATTTTATTCTCTCAGTTTGGAATGCTTTCAGAACCCAGAATTCTTAGTTTACTCACCATATGCAACTGCACTTTACCCTCAAACAGTGCAGCAGCATAGTCAGAATTAAGGCACATACTGGCTACTGTTCCTAGATATTCCATGTCCTTGAGCTTTTTCACACCTGCAAGGGTTTAAAAAGAAATTTATTGTGATTACACTTCTGTTGTGTAAATGTCAAAAGAACAGACTCAAGTGACGGAGTATTGTGGCACCTTAACAGCTAACACTTTTATTACAGCATGAACTTACACAGAATACAGTCCACTTCATCAAATGATTGAATGATTATCTTCAATTTCATGTATATACTTCAATAGATTGGAACTTCACAATGGACTGCCAATCAGTTGTCTCCCTCTGAAGTTTCTTATACCGTAACACTGCCTTTTTTGTCGAGGGCAGAGGTTGCAGTTTTCTCTTGCTGGGTTTTTTGGTCATTTCTGTTGTACGATTTGCATCCGCTTATTTTCCCCCCTTACATAGCAACTGGTCTATTACCTGTTACCTCTATCTGAAATTCAGGAGGGCACCACTCACAGAAGGTGGCATATAGCACACCGGGGCAAGTGAAGTGCCATGTCACGTATGTTATCAAAAACACTTTGATGAATAGCTTGTTAGAGTTCAAAAAACTGAATTTATGGGGTGCACAGATTTTGCCCTAAAAAGTTATTTTCAATTGAAAGGTGCCTCAGAGATGTGCATTAAATGTGAAAGCATTACGAAAAAGCATAGCTGGGGAAAATAGTTTACCTTACGAGCCAGTTGTTTTCAGAACAAAAGCTATTGATAAGATAACAAGGCAGTAGTGGCTCATTCAGTTTCATGCCGTTTTTCTTGGTGAAAAAAATAAATGCCTGAGTGCTTACATTATGTGAAACCGAGGCAACAGAAAAAAAATTTGAAGTGCATTCTAAGCTACTACTTGTGTTATGTTTTACTTACAATGTTAATTAACAAAGATCATAAAATGTATGTGGAAACCTATGTTAAACAAATGAGAATAACAATATATTGTACAATAGAAGCTTTTACAGAATAGTGTAAAAACAGAATGGGATGAATGCTATATTAAGCAGTTTGTTTAATGATAAGCAAATAGAGAAGAGGGGAGAAGAAGGGAAACAAAGGTGTAGTTCTATAAGGCTTTAGCCTCATAATTAATAGTAACTGCATTTTGAAGGTATAAACTAATATATAATAGTACCTATGTATGAATAGACATTTGTATTGTATTGTACTATCCCAAATGTACTATATTATCAATGAATTATGTCATTTTAACAAGCACTAACTCAAGGGAGGAGAGATTTTACTCCAGCCCTGAAGGCCAGGAGCTTGATAAGCCAGGTCTTGAAGATGTACGAAGATGGGCTTCGCAAGCCCCGAGAGGAGAAAGTCTTGGGATGAGCCTTGATTGTAAACATGTAGGTTTCTTGTTGGTTCAAAAGTATAAATTATGATGGAATCTCCAAGAATAGGAAAGACAAACTTTTGATTCTGCTTTGTTTCTTACTGTTGTGTTCCAGTCATCTATGTCAAAAGCATGCCTTGTTTTAGTGTGTGATCAATTTGGATGCTTGCTATTTCACCTTCCCCAGCATCAGTAGCTGGAGCATAGACTTGAATGAAGGTTATGTTGATAGGTTTTTCATAAGAGTCTGATGAATATTATTCAGTTAGACCTTTCATTGTAGCCACTAAGTGCTTGTGCTACATTTTGTCTCAGTATTAGAGCCACCCAATTTCTTCTGAGTTTGCCATTTCTGGTGTAGAACACTTTGCAGTTGTCTGGCTGAAAATATCTCACTCCAGTGCACTTTAGTTCACTGACACCAAGCATTGCAATGTTTATATGTTCCATTTCTGGCTTTACAAGGTCCAGTTCACCTTGATTCATACTTCTCATATTCCAATGGTATGTGTTGTACAGTATGGAACTTTCCTTTCACTTCTGTGCACATCAACCACTAGTCACCCTTTAAGCTTTAATCTAGTTGTGTCATTAGCAACAGTGCTATTCATATTTATTTTTGCTCTTCCCCAGTAGTTGACTGAGTGCTTTCCAACCTGGGAATCTCATCTTCCACGACTATCTCTTGCTTTATCATAGAGTTTTCATGGTAAGGAAAGTTCAGTAGTGGTTTACCACTGAGACCTTCTGCACAGTACTAACAAAAGTTAGCTTCAGTGTCACCATGTTCCTTATCTATCAGTGTCACCTTCAGCTACTATTGCTGCCCAATAGCTGCCACTCCCATCAACTATTCTGATGATGTGGCTGGCCATTTCTCTTTAAGAGGTTGAATGCATCTCCGTCTCACGCCTCAGCTGTGACCATCCTGTTTTGGGTGACCGTGCTAGGAGTCCAGGCTTGTAACAGAGTCTTGCCTTTGATGGTTCTCAGCTTCGCTGACATACTCAAATTCTTTCACCATGTTACAGTGTGCATTGAAGAAGGGGATGGACATCTTATCATGTGCACAAGACGAAGAATGGTTATGTGAACTTATTTTTCCATTATCTAAATTGAGGATGTCATAGTTGTCAAACAAAATATCAACTCATTTTTACCACCACATTATATGCCCTGATGCTTTAGGCACACTGAAACTGTCCTAAATGACCATAATTTTTTTAAAAAAAAATGTAATGCAAAACACATAAACAAAAACTTTATAGAATGACCAGCAATTTAGAAAACCTGAACCAGAAAGATACTTACTGCTTTCTCCCAGAAGATAAAACCATGCCCGATTATTCATCCCCACAGCCAAGTGGTAATGACCTACAGCAACAAAGCTTGGCTCAACTTCCACCGAAACTGCGATTGGTAACTCCTGCGAAGAAAGACAGTAGTGCTTTAGCTAAAGAGTGGTGCCACTGAGTCAATCCTACAAAATGTTTAAAATGAACAAATTACCATACATTTTCAATGTGGTTGGCTACAGTAACTTCAAGAAGCGAAGTGAGGTATGCAATCCGTGTGCTGTATGAATCTCCAAGAATAGGAAGTTTTGTCAAGAAAACATGGACAAATCCTCTCTTTGTAGACACTGCCAGCAACTGTCCATCGTCTGTCCATGACAGCTGATCTAATCCTAAAATATCAATATTTTGTTTAAAAATGCATTTTGCCTCAGAAATTCAAAAGTGACAAAGATTTTAAAAGCTGAAATGTCAAATATTCCTCACTGAGACTGAGACTTCTATGGACACCTGTATGTTCAAAGTTAATCTATCAATATTATTTGCAATGTTACATGCATTTGCATGAGTACTTGCATGTTTAAATTGTCAGCCCAGGAAAGTAAGTTGAGCACCAGGTTATGCAAACAGTTGAAGAAGGATAGGAGTATACAAAGCAGAGTTCAAGAAAAAGAAAAGCAGAAATAGCAAAATCTGTGCTGAGCTAACAAAGAGGGGAAAAAACTTTAGGAAGAGCCAAGTGGTCTATGGTGTAAAGACAGAGTTGTCTTTGTGATCACTGCCTTGCCTAGGCACCAGTGTCTCTGTAGAAGTGTCTCCAGGAAAAGGAACAGCATGTTGGGTTGCTCCTTTCTTGAAGAGAATGCAAGCCCAGTCCCTTCCTAAATTATTATTATACTGATAATTTCATACAGAAAAGTGTTATATTAGCAAGAAGCTGCATGTGCATTACACTTTTTCTTCAAGGAATTCACAACAATTTACAGTGTGGTTTTTCATTTCATCTTCTCCACAACTCTGTGAAGGTTAGTTCAAGACAGGAGCATGGGATGTTCCCCAAGCCTTCCTGGCTGCATTCCCTCATGACCAGAGTTATTGTATTTTCAATCTATCTTAAATCTTATGCATGTACACACACCAACCATACACGTCATGATCCATTCCAATCCTCTTTGTTATATCTTGCCACTTGCCTGTGTGTTTTTTAAAAAAAATATTAAATAGGTCTGAATGAGACTTGGTGAATATAGCAGTAAATGGGGAGGAGGAGACTAATCCTTTTTTCCTCATCTCCAACATCTACACTTGTTTTTAAGAAACCTATCTGATGTGCGGGGAGGGGAGCAGAAGATCCCAAGAGCCATACTCAGCCTGCCAAGTGAAAGTACACCTCCCATTATCTGCAAAATAGCATGCTAATTCCAATTATAATCTAAAACAGTTTTGGGTGATTAGAGAACAAGCAACAATAGTCTCAAGTGCTAAGGATTCTGATCTGCAGAAAAACTACGATTTAAACAAACCACACAATTTGCCATGTTTTGTTGCTAACGGAAAAAATAAACTTCTGAAGTCTTCCCCTTCCCTCAAGAAAAGGGTGAGGATGGGGAATGCTAAGTCAATGTTTCTTGCTGCTTATTCCACATCTCTTGCAATTAGTTTGGAGGATTAGTTGGTTGGATTATTCTTAATTCCTCTAATATTTTTAGCAAAGCTTGTATTGAAAATCATCAGCTGTAGTGATTCACGTTGAACATTCTAGCTGGCACATATAAAATGATGCTAATTTAAATAAAATCTATTTGATTTTAGTTACTTGGGAACTGCCATACCTTTATTTTCATCTTCCAAATTTATTATTGCATACATTTCGCTCAGATCTGACAGGTCATGAATCTTGATGCTAAAATAAAAATAAATTTCTTTACTATTTATCACTATATCATAGACTACATAATGTAGGCATCCATCAGTTTCAAGAGTCTATGTTAACGTGCTCCAAGTAGAGGTCTTGGAACAGCATCTAGTGTGGCTGAGAAGGCCAATTTGAGAGTGACAATCCCTTCCACACTGAAGACAAATACAATCTGTCCCCTGTCCAGCTCCCTGATTTTGCTAGTTTCAGGACTGCTTCTTTGCCCTGGCCTGCTGAAAAAGGGTCTCTTCAAATTGGGAGAGGCCATGCTGAACCATCTGCCTCCAGGCTGAACTCTCAGATGTCAAGGTTTCCCATCTGTTGAAGTCCATTCCTAAGGCCTTCAGATCCCGCTTGCAGATACAGTGGTGCCTCGACTTACAACCATAATCTGTTTCGGAATGATGGTCGTAACTCGAAATGGTCATAAATCGAAGCACCATTTCCCATAGGAATGCATTGAAATGCCATTAATCCATTCTAGCCAAAGGAAAAAAAATCCCCCCCCCCAAAATAAAAATAAAAGACTGTGGGCCCCTGGGCCTGGAAAAAATAAAAATAAAAATAATCCAAAAATAAACACTGTAGCAAGTCCCACGCTGGGGCTGAAAAAAAAATAACCAAAACACAAAACAAAACAACCAATCACGCTG